TCGTGCCTGACAAATTTGGTGGCCTTCTACGGTGGGGTTACAGCATCGGTGGATAAGGGAATGGCAGCTGACGTCATCTACCTGGACTTCTGCGAGGCATTTGACACTGTCCTGCACGACATCCTTGTCTCTAAATTGGAGAGACATGGATTCAATGGATGGACCACTTGGTGGATAAGGAATTGGCTGGATGGCCGCACTCAAAGAGTTGTGGTCAACGGCTCAACGTCCAAGTGGAGAACAGTGACGAGTGGCGTTCCTCAGGGGTTGGTACCGGGACTTTATTTCTACTGGTAGCTTAGATGAGAAAAGCTTTTTCTTTCTGCCCCCCTTTCTAGGCTTATCTGGGGACACAAGCAAGCGGAAAGCAGTCATTGCGGACAGAGTGAGTCACTGATCTCTTCCTAACTGGATTTTCACGTGATACTAACTGTGTTCCTGGAAGGAATGGCTTCTGTCCTCCAGAAGTTAATCCAACTAAGTCTAGAACATGTAGACATGCCTCTCGTGCTAAAATTGTGAGCAGGATTTTAGAAGACACTTGAAAATACCTTTTGCATAAAGGTGAAGATAAAATCTGCAGCAGTGGCAAATCAAAATGTGACATTATCATCCAGGCCTTGAGATCTCTGGTCCCCTCACAGTGCAGAGAAACCTTTTTTGTAGGTAACTCCAGAGTTTCCTGACCTTTGGTTGGCAAGTATCCATCAGTATGTAACTTGCTTACTCTCAGGATGGAAACTTTGCTCCATGTAGACATGGAATAAACTCTTCAAATGATCAGTTGTTACAGAAACCTTTTTCTGGGGAGGGCATGTTTAAAATACGCAATAATTATGCAGCTATACTTTGTTCTTCATGTATATTTTATTTGCAGGTAATTAAGTTTTGCTGTTTAAGAAACTATAACTTAAGCTTTGCATAAAAGCGTGACCCACATGACCCTCACGCTTCAGAATGTGTTCATCTGCCTAAAATTCGCTGGCAGACTGTCTGCCCACTTTCTTGATCGGTTAAAGTTAGCGTAGGCTTTCAATATCCCACTGGGCCGCTTCTATGCCATGTCATGCCATTGTCTTTTTTTTTCCCCTCTTCTCCTTCCTGCACACAGTAGTTCATACCCAAAATGGGACAACAGAGTCCCATTTTGGACAACAGTGCTGCCAGCCCCCAAGTCAGTCTGTTAAATGTATGACCAAGTAGGAGCTCTAGTGTAGGATTTGAATGAAAGTTCTTGTTTATTGTAATTCAGATGGTTGAAATCCTTCTCCATTACGCTGATCGGACTTTGAAGAAATGTCCTGACCAAGGAAAAATCCAGGTTATGGAGCAACATTTTCAGGTATGGTGATCCAGAGGACCCTCTTGTATAGATATATTAAATTTTTTAATCGGGCTTTGCTTTGCTGCAAAAATTACTTGTCTATTTTTGAAAAATATTGCTGTGGTTCACCTGAACTCTCACCTCTGTTGTGTGCACTAAGGAAATCGGGACAAGTTGAGTTGTTCTCCATATGAACCAGTACATGGGAAAACCTGTAACTGTGCCAGCTACCAGCTAATTCAAATAACTCATGGATTCTGCTCTGTATTAGCAAGGCTTCGTTTTGTGCTCTGCAGGATGTGCTACTTGGCAGGATTTCTGCCAGTCCCTACAGCTTGTTTATGTTTCTTCTGCAGGACGTGGTGCCTGTCATAGTTGATTACTCCCTCTTACTCCAGCGCACGTAAGTCTGAGTTTGCAAGTCTCTCTCCCAAGGCAGACCACCAACCCATGTAGTCCTGAGTGCTGTCTCATATAATATCACATGGTTTAGAGGAAATGTATCATGTCATTGTCTTGTCATGTCATATATCACATCACAGTTTAGAGGAATGCTGAAAAACTGATGCTAAAGTCAGGGTACTCAGTACTCAAAGAAAAGCGTGTCTTAAATTTTCATTGATGTGTTGAAGAAGAATTTGCTTCAAACTGTTTCCCCCACAGTATTGCCTTAAGAAAGAAGCTGCTTTGATAGATTTTCCTGTTGTCATCATTTCTCCTCTAACAGCAGATTTTTGCTGCAACATCCCTAGCTGATTTATTCTGTGTAGCTGCCTGTAACTTGCGTCAGTACAGGAGCTGAACCAGGGCATTCAGCTCCTGCATCTGAGAAATACAGAGAAAATGGGATTTAATTCAGAGCCCTCAGAAAGCAAATAAGTAAGGAGATTTTAATAAGATTATTTGATAACTAAACACTTCTTTCCTCCTAGGGATCTATTGTTTAACCAGATATATGATAAGATGAGTGAGAATTCTGTAGCTAAAGGCATCTTTCTGGAGTGCTTGGAGCCATACATCTTAAGTGATAAGCTGATGGGAATCACAGCTCAAGTGATGAAAGACTTGCTGCTTCACTTCCAAGACAAGAACAGGTTGGAAAATTTGGAAGCCTGCATTGTGCATATGGATATCACCAGCTTAGACATACAGCAGGTGAGCTGTTGTACTGCATACTGTATTGAGTTCCTCTGAATAAATGACAGCATCCCCTAGTCGCTGATGCGAACTTCTTGTACTTTTAAGCACAGCAGAGCACGTGGAAAACAAGGTGTCACCTTTCAACAGACAAGACTTCCCTTTGTGATTTTTGGTCACGAGTTTGTAACAGAACTTAGCCTTGTGTCCCTGGGATCAAATTCAATGAATGTGGGAATTATTTAGCATGGCTATGTCCATCCTGTTACATGGATGCTCCTGTAAATATGTTTTGCTCCCCCAGTTTGTATCCTGGCATAGGTTAATGCATCAGCAGCTGATGTGCTGGAAGCTACTAGTTCATCAGGATGAGTCTGATACTCACAGTCTTTCCCGATTTGAGTACTTAGCTAACATCAAAGGCTGCAGGGGCACAAAAAACTGTGAGTTTGGTGCCTGCCAGCCTGCTCTGCTCAGGTGCTGGCTCTTGCATGACAAAGTTAGTGGAGCAAGGCAGTGTTCCTGCTGGGTAGTCCTGTTTTCCTTGGCCAGTTTTTGTTCCTGCAGCATGGCTTTCCATTCCAAGGAGGGAACTGCTTGGGAACTTGACAAAATGATTCACAAACCCAACCAAGAGGCAAACGAGTGCAATCAAGGGTTTTGAAAAACTGATTATTTTTTTTTATTCCTTAACCTCATGCAGATTATGGATGTTAGAATCTAGACAGTTAGATTCCATGTTTGGTGCATGAGCAATAAGCTGGATACTCCCTTTGGAGATTTGGGGTCCTGGCAGAGGCTGTTTCTGCGAGTGGAAACTCTCATCCTGCTTTAAATCATACTGTCAGGTGATGTGAATGCAAGCACAGAGATTGTATTTGAGAGACTGGGGAATGAGAAAACTGTGAGCTAAGAGCAGCTGTATATCTACATTGTGCTTTGTTTGCCTTGCAGGTAGTTCTTCTGTGCTGGGAAAACCATCTCTATGATGCCATGATCTACGTCTACAACAGTGGGATGAATGACTTCATTAGCCCCATGGAGGTAGGAAGGATGCTCAGTGCAGTGAGTTGTTATTTGTGTGTTCAGCACACAGCCTTTCAGAGAAACAGCATTTCAAACCCAATGCATTATCTTCTCATTCAGTTTGTATATGTTCTTTTTGGTTTTCATTTCCAGAGAGAAATCTTGTATGATACATGCAGTTTATTAGACTAGACACGATAGAGGAAGAAAGTAATTTGTAATTACTGTACTTTAGAACGCAAATTTCCCTGCTGAGGTAGCAATGCTCTGCAAAGTTACAGCAGGAAATTTAGTCTTGTTGACAAACATAAAACAAAAGCAGCAGAAGAGAATAACACGACAGCTTAAGGAGATTGCATTGCAGCACTGTCTGCTGACAGCTTTGTTGCTGGGGGTGAGCCTGGCCTATGTGGCGTGACGTGCTGAGAAAGCATCAACTTGCTGCACGATGGGATTAATGGGGGTGTAGGCGTGAGAGGTTCTGTGAACACCTCATGCTTTATTTCCTTCATACTGTTCTTCCTCTGCTGACAAAATAGTATATTAATAAAGTATGACATAGTAATGCAAGCAAAGAGTGAACTTACCTGTGTACGGAGGTCAGAAAAAAGGCTAGAAACAGTCCTTGTGTTGAGGCAGGCGTTGCTCTTTGTGCTTGGGTCTGACCTATCAACCTCAACGCGATGCTGTGACTGAAGGCCCTGTTGCTGCTGCTAATGCTAAAGATGTGCCTGACACACCGATTGTTCTTGAAACCTATAGCTATAATGTCAAGATTTTTCGTTATAGAAGCACTGCTGGTATTTTCTCAGTAGTGCTGAAACAGAGAGCTGGGCCCATTCGAGCGTGAAAATGTTAAACTGCCCAATTTTTAGCAGTTAATCTCATTGGATTTTCCTCAGGAAGGAGATTCTTTAGGTGTTTGTGACTTTAAAAAGGACTTCCAGAACCCTAGCACTAGCTGTATGAGTACAAATAACTTTTTTTGGTTTCTAGAGCTAAGTATTTAGACGAGTCCTCATTCTACATAGCCATACTAAAGGCTCTCTGGTGACCCTGCTAGGTAGGCTGAAGGTTTGCGTAATCTTTGGTGGCAGAAGATTCAGGAAGAGGACGCGGGGCTGGCCAGTTATGCTCTGACTGTTGCTTCTGGGACTACCGAACATTGCTTTTTGTAGTGTGGCCTGTGCTTAGGCTTAGATCTGATTGAACAAAGGCTGCTTTTCCATACATCATGACATCAGCTGGGAAAAGCATCCTTTGCCACATCTTGGTGTCCTCTGTGCCTTTTAATTGTAAGACATGGTGAGAAAGCAGAGCTTCTGTGAGGAAGACACCCCATTGATCTTTGCTTTAAAACCAGGCAGATTCTTTGCTTTGAGCTTTTCCAGCTGCTTGAGCACTGCCTGCTTTCTTGTTACAGAAGCTGTTCAGAGTCATCGCTCCTCCACTGAATGCTGGGAAGTCTCTCACAGGTACAGAATTCTTTCCCTTTAAGGGTTTCTAGTTTTGGTATTTGATGTCTTGAATATCTCTAGTAACTTCCAACAGAGGGATGCAAAAAGGAAATATCCAATCTAAGGGTTTTGGAGAAAGGAAAAGTGTTCTAGTACCATTTACTGTGTGTAAAGCTGCTCAACTTACTATGTAAAACTCTGCATGTGTGTCGGATGAGATGTACTGCTAACAGCTGGGAAAAAGAATTGCATCTCTGTATGTTGTCTTGTGAAGGAAAGGTGACAAATAATTTTTGTTTTGTAGATGAGCAGGTGGTCATGGGCAACAAGCTGCTTGTGTATATAAGGTAAGGTCCTTTAGAAAGCGTTGCCTAGTGGTGGCACCAGATTTTTAACTTACTATAATTGCATATTCTTACAGCATGTATAAAATAACAATGGCTACTTTGTACAGCTGACTTAAAGTTACAGCGGCTTTTTGTTACACATCGTGTGAGTAGATAGGTAGGATAAAGTTGGAGATTTAGAACTCAAGTTAGTGCTGATATGCCAAGATCATTTATCCGTAGGATTTGGTTAGAGTGGGTTCTTTGTCCCGTGTGTGACACAGTGCTCCTTGAGGAAGGACTCCGTAGCCGGAAAAGCTGTATTTTAGCCCTCTCTGCCATGCCTTTGGGATAGCTGTGCTCAACTGCTGCTTACTCTGTTGCCATCCTGAGACTGCACAGTAGTGATTAATTAGTGAATTTCTCTTTCTGGAATCTATTCAAGATCGTGAACGTTAGATTCTGCGTTACTCCTGTTTCCTAAAATGCAGGAGTAAATATTTTGTGAGAAATACTGAGTTTCTGTGTTACTTTTCTGCTACGGAATGGCATACCTCAGATGCAAATTGATGCAGTGCGCTGGCTTATCGTGTATTAACACAAATATTGTCTGCAATGCTTCCTTTCGTGATTTACAAAATAAATTTTTTTCACTTGTTTTAAGAATGTCCTGAAAACTAATTCAAAAAATAAAATGTTCTCCTCAATCTGTTTAATGTCAGGACATATTAAAAATGCCTTTCCCCTCCTTTCCTATAGCTGCTGCTTGGCAGGCCGTGCGTATCCATTGGGCGATATTCCTGAAGATCTGGTACCTTTGGTTAAAAATCAGGTGAGCAACCTTTCAGAAGGAAACTTTCCCATGTGAGGTTTGTAGAACAAGCTGTGTATGTCTTAGTTCATGGGATTCTGATAGAAAACTATTATCAATCTGATAGCTGCATCCTTGTGATATGAGTAAATATCAAATATGAGTATATACCACTGTAAATATCAAATAAATTTGTAAAGAATTTAATCTAACAGTTGTTGCAAACTAAACATTTAAACATAATATTTTCCTTTCAACTGTAAATTGGGGTGTGTGACCATAGAGTTCTTAATGGCACTAATTTTCTTTTTTCCTTATTTTTTTACCACCAAGTTACCAAAAATTTGTAGCTGTGTCTTCTTTCTAAACTTGACTATGATGTGTCAAATACAGGAGGATCTTCCCTGTTTTCAAATGCATGTAACACGGGATTGACGGGAGTAGAAAGCATCAAAGAACATTAACTAAATATTCCTTCCTCTGGCTGTTCCTAAAACTTCAGTTTGTGTTGGAGTTTTCCTGCATCAGATATTACATCTCTGGCCCCTGCAGTGTAAAGTTCAGCACAGTTGTTTTCCACGATGAAGGTCCCATTAGATGTGTTTCTGTCAATCTCTGCCCTAGTGTCCCGTCACTGAATCGTCACCTCTGAGGCTTATCCATTCTCAGGTATTCGGGGACACACGTACCTGTCCTCTAGGTGTAATTCCCATGTGCAGGGTGAACGTCTCTGCCCCACTGCTTAAATCCACATCACACATCCACAGATACTTAGTAAATGGGTGCATGAGGTGGAGTGTGCCATGACTGCTGAGTTAGGAAATAGTAGGTACAGTTCAGTGGTAGAAATGTCTCCACTGAGTAGCTCTTGGTTGCAGATTTTGCTGAGGCTTTTGATTTTTATGGTCAGAATTATAGTAGTGTGTGTTCATGCTCATCTCTGCTCATCAAGACATTGTATTTGCTGAAGATAAATTTCCAGCCCTGTGATAATTCCAGGTATTCAGCTGAGGTCAAGAGCTGAATTGTAATCAAGTGCTCCACACTGCATCTTTGTCCCCTTGGCTTGCAGGGTCACCCAGCTACCTGTTTGTGCTGGCTGCTTCTCTGCCACTTAAGTAGCCAGAGCTACTTAATAGGTTCAGGGTGCTGCAACGCACCTCTCCGTAGGCTTATCTCGGGAACCCCTCTTGAGAGCCTCCTTTGGCAGGAAGGAGGTTCTGGGGGTCACAGAACCGGGAAAGGGTTTAACATTAGATGTTTTTTGGTACTTAGAGAAAAAGGAGGATGCAGTCAGTTCTGAACTTAAATCCTGTATCCCAGCATTTGATTTCAGTTGATGTGATTCCAGCTTTTTGTATGGGGAGTTTTGGGTTGGCCTACAGCTTACATTCCTGTTGTCCCTAATCTCTGTGACTATAGCTGGAGCTGAGGTGAATCTGTGATGGCTGTGAGGTCTGTGATTCAGGCGGTCTGACAATTCCTTCCCTTATGTGCTTATTATTGCCTCCTGCCCGCAGCACTGGAGGGAAGAGGCTTTCCCAAAAGACTGTTCCACAATGATCATGTTTAGAGAGACAATTTCCCTTTTCTGATAGTCAGTGCCACTTTGAGACAACTTAAAAGGTAGCCAGTTTCCTCCTCCTCTTGAGAAAAGGCATAAAGCAACCTATGGCTTGATATTTTCTGGTCTTGTGGTGACTCTTAAGATCGGGAGAAATAGCCTTTTCTGTCTGGATTGCCCAAGAGATTGACAGGTTGTTTCAAGGCAACAGGCGCTATTGCATATGCCTTATATATTTGTTCAGGACGGGTGTGAGCACGTTCTTAATGGTTTCATCGTAGGGAGAGAGTACCTAGCTAAAGTCACAGAGAACTTATGCCAAAAGTATGACTAGACACACAGGTTACATGTCATGAAAGTTGGCTTGGTCACTGCCAAGTAAATCTCCTTTCCTTATTCATCATTGCCATCAGAGCCCTCAAGCTGACTATTTCATTCTCTTTAAGCTGTGTCTGAAGCTTGGCCTAAGGCAAAGCTTAACTCCTTTGGAGTCATCTCTGACAATTTCTTAAAAGAGAGGATGCTCCTGATCATCATTTTTTGCTCATAAAACTCTTTCCTGAGTTTCTGGCCACTTTTACCACAAACATTTTTTTGATGTCTCTAGTGTTTCACTTTAGTTTCAGGGTTTCAATAAGAGGAAGCGCTGTTTTGCACTGTCTCTTTCCAGTACAATGGAGCAGGTGTTTTTTAGTTGTGGGGTGGTTTTTGTGGTTTGGTTTTTTTTGTTTTGTGGGTTTGTTTGGGGTTTTTTTGGCTAATCCAGAGCTTGTAGCTATATGTATGTGGTAGCTCTGGGGTACTGCAAACCCTTTCCTCGCAGGCTGTGCAAACCAGTCTGCTCCCCTTTGCTGGATGAAGCACTAGGCTGTTGCTCTCTCGCATGGTCCTTATCAAGTTGTCCCCTGCACACACTAGAGCTGGCACAGCCTCAGACTGTGGCTGAAGGTCTGAGGGGATGTGGTAGCCCAACCAGCAAGAGTAGCTCTAGGGAGGAACCATCAACCTCTCCTTTTTATGTCCTCTGATAGTGTTCCTGAGAGTTTTGCTTAAGTAACACCTTTCTATCTGGACACTTGAATCCACTCTAGCTACAGTCTGGGGTTTTTTTTTCTGTTTTCTTAAGTGTGCTGAGCTGGCAGGGGGGCATCAGGTTCAAGGAGGCATTTCCTGCAGATGGCTGGGGGACCGTATTGCCTGTCAGTCCTCTATAGGATCCCAGTGTGTATCTTAACATATACGAGCATTAGCCAGTCTGCGGCAGTCTGCTCTCTTTCTGCTGGTAGCCAGATCTGATGTGAGCATGTTTGAGACAACCCGAGCTGTTGCTGCCCTGTTTGTTCCCTGGGAGGGTCTGGACGCCTCTGTCAGTGGTTCAATAAAGGCAGTTGCCTTCTTTTTAAAAGACACGTTCAGATTTCAGGAACTAGAAAGTCAGTGGAGGAAATAGGTGCTATTCAACTCTCTAAGTCAGCCTTTGCAGCGCCAAAAGCTTTGTGCCTCAAAGCGAGGGGGCAGATTGACTGGCTCTTCCCAAGGGAAGTGCTGACAAGGAGAGGAGCTGTGCCCTGGGTAGGGAGGAGTTGCACAGCTTCTGAGGAGAGCTGCCAGGAAGGGGAGGGAGTTACCTAATTTCACACGCTTTGGTCTGCAAGCCTTGATTTTTGCTTGGTCTTAAATTTTGATTGATCTTGAACTGGTTGGCGAGTCGAAGGAGGGTAATTTTTCTCCTACTAACAAGCACCAGAAAACATCATTCAAGTAAGAACACTGATGGACTCCTCAGGTGCTTTAAAGCTTAGTGCAAAGCAGGTAACGATGCTGCTTTCCCTTGTGCTATCAGCTATCTGAAATCTGTAGGAAATCTGCTGTGTTTGAATTTTCATTGCAGGTCTTTGAATTTCTCATCCGGCTGCATTCAGCTGAGGGATCTGTGGATGAAGAGGTCTACCCTTACGTTCGTACCTTGCTGCACTTTGACACTCGGGAATTCCTTAATGTTCTTGCTCTGGTAAGAGATCGCTGATCTCCAAGGGAAAAACGCAACGCCAGTTCTTCCATCATCTGTGTCGTGGTCTGTAAGATTCCTATTAAAAAGTTCATGCTTTAGCTAAAGCAGTCGTTACTGGCTTGATGCAGGAACAGTTTTGATGTGTGTTCTATAAGATACCAGAGGAGATCATAATAGTCCTTTATGTCCTTAAATATAAATTGATGGATGTGTCATTATACAGTGAAGACTCTGGTAACAGAGGCCATCTTTAAAGCATAGGTAAAACAAGTATAATGTATTAGTAAAGAGTGTTTTAGTACCTACATCTTTCTCCTGCATAAAGAGTCATCTTTCTTCCTTTCCAAGTTTCTTGAATTTCCTCTGTCTGTTTGGACCTGTTCCTTTTATCTGAATATGTCAGAACCATTTTGGTAATTAGGAAAAAGCAAATTGTATCTTGGAACCTGCTGCCTTTTCTGATGCACAGAAAGGACTTAAAGGCATTGTCAGCTTTGTGATATGGCTGCTGCTTTGTGTTTGCTTGTACTGCTGGGGTTGGCAGTGGAGAGCATTCTTCTCAAAGTGTCCATGTTTTGCCTCATGCAGACTTTTGAAGACTTTAAGAATGACAAGCAAGCTGTGGAATATCAACAGAGAATTGTGGACATACTTCTGAAAGTGAGTGTGCCTAAAAATTAACCTCTGCGTTTACATGTGACTGATTATATACAACACAGTGCAGCAAAACTTGTAATTTGGATGAGGTGCTCCTGTCCTGCCCTGGATGACACCTCCGAGAAGGTGGTGGGCTGGAGCGTGGATTCACCTCAGGCGAGGCTGTCGGTTGGATATTCGGAAGTGATGCTTCCTGCACATTAAATATGGTGATACAGCGGTGTCCTTTCCTGCCTGTGATTTCACCTGGGTTGTACTTTGTTGTCGGATTTCTTCTCTCTGCACTGTTCAGTTTATTTTTATCTGCTTCTCATTGATTCTGCTCCCTGATTTCTTCTGAGCAGGAAAGAAGGTCCCAGGAATCCTGTGCTTGGCAGGGTGCCAATGCTCCTGTGATAAAACCCTGCTCTCTGTATCTGTAAATGCTGCGTTTGGGATGTAACATGCCCGGAATGACAGGCCTATCTTTAGTAAATGGGAGAGAAGAGGAATGTCAGAGTTATCAGCCTGGTGCTCTAGAAATCACTTGTCATCTGCAGACCGTGTTCTTAACAATGAATGTTCTCATTAAAAGCTATCGCTGCCAAATGCCGCTTGCTTTCCCCTTCAAAACTGTCAGCGTTAATAATGAGTAATTCCACTTGGAAGCTGTTTATGTATAAACATATCATAAGTAGAGTTTCCCCGTCACTGTCATCATTGATAGATGAGAGCAAGGGCACCAGGGAGTGAAATCATGGCAGCGCTGCTGCAACAGGCTGTGTCAGAGGGGCTGAGATAATGCCACTGCGGGGGAACTTTTGTGAGCCTGGCTGAGTGGGACGTTGCTGTAAGGATGTTAGCCCTGCGCCAGGTTAGACCGTGCTTGTTTGTGTCTTTAGCTGCCGTCAGCAGGAGGTGGCACACTGCAGCTGTGTTCTGGAGCTGCTGTGGGATGTGTTCCTGTGGCACGGCGTAGGCTGGATTGAGCTGTTTACAGCCCTGCTCTGTGCTGCTGGCCACGTAGCAAATGTCCGCCGCAACAGAATTCAACCCTGCTCTCGGAGGGGGGAAAGGAGGGCAATTGTGAGAAGTGCTGCAGGGTTAAATGCATCTGCAGGCAAACGATTTGGTGTTATGAGAACTGTCAGTCCCTTGGTCTGGAATCTGCTCTCATTTTGGATAAAAATAAAATAAATCTTGGAACTTTTAAAGTTATCATTGGCAAAAAAACCCCACTTAGGAAATAGCCGCACTTTTAAAATAGTTTGGTCAACACAGATGTTCTGCTAATGCTGATCTAAACTTTGCCAAATATATCATCTTCTAGAAAGTCCACGTGCTTGGCCTGCAGCCTCTGTAAGGTTGCTCTGTTTCAGAGGTACAGAGTGGAATACCCAGCATTTCATCTTCCTGTGGACTGACAAGGACTCAGTTTGTGAAAAACAAAGCCATGAATAAAACACTCTTACTGTTTTAGTGAGCCACATTTTTAATGCCATTAGCTAATGTCATTCTGACTAGGCTCCTGTATGAAATAGTCTTTTTAAACAGAACATGAAGATTAAAAAAGAATTATAGCATTAACTGATGTTTCAAGCAGAGCTGTACTTAATTTCTTATGTGTCTTACCTGTCTGCCTCCGCCTGTTTAAGATGACCATCAGCATCTCATGGGGATCTGGAACTCTGGGTCACTTTTAAGGAATCAATTGCATCTCCCAAGTTTAGATGGAAGGAGGTTATAAACTGTGAGATGCTCCGTGTCCAGGCTTTGCTAGCACGCTTCTCAGATGCTAGCTGACAGAGTTGTTCAGGTGATGGATTTCCTCCTAGCTAAACCTGCTGCTCTTAGAAGGAGACTCCAAACAGGGACATTTCACTTTCCCTTAGTGTTTGGGATTTTTTTAGAAGCGTGAGATACCAAGTCAGGACACATCAGGTTTGTTTTTTATATGCAGACAGGTGACAATGACTTCTCAGGTTTCAAATCCCTTTTGTAATGACTCTTAGATAGTCTATTTTTCTGTAATTTCAAGTCAGCGCAGCCACAAGTTTCTCAAAATATTCATAGACTAACAGCTAATTTAATGTGAGAAAAGAAACTTTTCCCCAAACCTACAGTTGTTTCTTAGTCATTTGATCGCTGCTTCTGCGTACCACAGTTGAAGTGGTGAGTGCCTGATGCTTGAAGTCAAATGCATTTTTTTTCCTCCTATAATTATTAATTTTATATTTTTTTTCCTTATGTGACAACATTTCTCTGCTCAGAAGCTCTGTTACATGTCCGGTGATCAGCACAGACTACAGAGGTGGAGATAAATGTGGGTTTGGAGCCCTTTGACACCCAAAAATCAGGGACATGCAAGAATATGTTCCTTGAGTGTATGGCAGAGAGGTTGAGCCTCTTCAGCTTTGGGACAGAGGTGATTTAGCAAGGACACGTCCACTGTCTGTGTCTTCAGGTGACACAGTTACATCCTTGGAAGGTGGCTTATCTTTTGACCTTCAGGATGGACTAGCACCAGGAGATCGTGTAGGTGTCTGGGTAGGGGATGACATGATGGCTGTGCAGGGATTTCTTGTTGCAGTGATTGCTTTCCCAAAGGCAGCTGCAGAATCAATCACTTGTGTGTTTATTTATCCCTTTTCTTTCTAATACTTCTCAGGTCATGGTAGAGAATTCCGACTTCACCCCGTCGCAGGTTGGCTGTCTCTTTACCTTCCTTGCCCGTCAGCTCGCCAAGCCCAACAACACGTTGTTTGTGAACAGGACGCTTTTTGACCAGGCAAGTATACCTTTGTGAGGGGCAGAAAAAGTTCCAAACGGGGTGCAGCACCGCAGAGAGTGTGGCTAGTGCTGTGGACTGAAGCAATTCTGGAAGGACAGGTGCGTTATAAAACAGGTAGCATCTGGCTGGGACTTCGCTGTGGTTTCAAAGAAGCAGAGTAGGAGAGACCACAGAAGCACAGTAAGCTCTGTATTTCAGCTTGCCTGCTGGAATTGTAAGAGAAATAGGGTCAGGTCCTAGGAGATGGCACAGCTTCTGCTTCTCTCCATGGAATAGGCAGATTCCTGTGGTCACTAGTGTGTCAGGAGAAGGAAAGCAAAGGCCCATAAGGGCAGGAACCAAGCTGTTTATCTTGAAGCCCTAGTGAGCATTTTGGTGGCTCTGTTGTCAACTGTTATGCGTATGAAGATGCCAAGACAGGGAGATAAAGGATGCCAACTAAAAAGACACTTATAGAGCTTGTATACGTAGCTGGTAACTTCTAGTTTGCATGGCCATCATCCTCTGCTGTTTGAAATAAGCTGATATGCACCAATGCATGCCTAAAGCTCCTATGGGTTAAGTTTATATCCCAGTTTAAGTCCCAGAAATTCCTGGGACTGCGGAGGCGGCTTTAATGGCTACAGCAGTTGCACTTTGATGCTAATATGGGTATATGAACGCTAATAAAAAGTGGGTTAGAAAATATATGTCCTTTGTCATAATTTAAGACCAAAGAAGCCTGTGGAGGCTAAATGGATTTGGATTAAACACTGTAATTACAGATACATTAAATTTTATGAATTACATGATTTCCTGTTTTTCCGGGAGCAAAGTTGAAAGGGTCAGCATAGTGGTTCCAGCTGTTTGGCATGTGGCCCAAGGCAGTGTCATGGGATCCCTTGAGTTCTTCTATATTCCCTGGGTTCCCCAAAGCTTGGTTCTAGATCCTGGTGCAGAGTTATGGGTTTCCCTCCCCGGAGTCTTTCAGCGGTTCCTGGTTACTCCAGTATTCTCAATTGTCCTTAGAGTACCTCGCAGATGAATAGTTCATTCAGATAGCACTCTTGTGTTCTGATTTGCTGTTGCCATTAGTGGTACTCACGATCTTCTTCTTAGGTTTATGCTAACAGCTATGCTTACTACACCTAGCTCATGCTAACCTCTACATCCTTGCCCAGGTCCTTGAATTTCTGTGCAGTCCGGATGATGACTCCCGCCATTCGGAGAGGCAACAGGTAATGGCCTCCAGGGAACATTTCTTTAAGGACCAGGTACGACCAGACTGCAGAGCAAAGTTCAGCCTCGTTGGGAACATTTGCTGGCTGAAGGTCGTATGCCAAAGTAGTCACTTAGCATAGGAACGGTGGCCAGCGTGGAAGAATTGGGCAGTGCTGTACACAGCAGGAGTGAAGGAGGATCCTACCCCAGCATTGCCCGGAGGAGAGGTTTGAGAGCAGTAAGAACAGAGGCAGGAAAAGTCCTGGATAAGTGCATGACCTTCATAATTAATGGACAATCAATTAAAAAAAAAATAATCTGTAAAATAAGCCTTGTGTTAATACGAAGTTTAATGGACTGGGAGCAGTGTACTTCTGAATGGCACTGGTTGTCCAGCTACTACTGCAATATGAATAACTGGTCTTCAATGTCTGCAGGTCCTCTTAGAATTGCTCCAGGCAGGAGGGATAGTACAGTTTGAAGAGACCCGTCTTATCCAAATGGCAGAAAAAGCAGAATTGTAAGTTGCTGTGTACAGTGTATAAATACTGTCTTTAAATCGCCTCCGAAGCTTTTTTCCCTCCACATTTCTTGTTCCTACTTTGCAGCTGTTTGTGATTATTTTCCCTGTGCATTCACATATGCTTCGTTTAATATGTTCATGTTTAGCCATAGTCTATCTTTTCTCTACTGAGTGTTCTTACAGAAAGCATTGTTAAAATAAGAGGGGGTGGAGCTGTGGGAACCCTTCAGCATGAAACCCTGTGGGGCTTGATGAGTTTTGGCACTTCCTAGCCTCAAGCCCAGGCTTTGTTCAAAGGTATAGTTGTATATTTGAATGCTCTACCACTGACAGATGGAGATGACTTGTAGGGGTGAGACCCACAGGTGGATTTAAAAGCACGAAGGGGTCTGGAGCCACCCCCATGGTACTCATTATAGAATTGAGTAGGAGAGACAAACGCAGGCTAAAAATTTCCACCATCTCCTTTAGATGCTTTACAGAGAGTCTGTAATGCCTGCACAGAGCCAGCCAGAGAGAGGGCATCTTCACCCAAGTCTTGAATGTCGATGGTTCTCTGAATTAAGGCACTGTACTACAAAGGGATAGAAGTGCCATGGTGGGGTATGCCGTGCCTGTTTTCCTGTGTGTCCTAGAAGGAGTTACTCAACCAAATTTTTCAGACTCAAGAAATGCTTTTTTTTTTCCTCCTTGCTTCAGAGTTTGACTGCGAGAACCACCAGCTCAGCCACTTCCATCAGAGCTAAAAGGCCTATAGTGTAATGTTATTTAGCAGGCTTTTCATTTGTTTTGCCTCAGTTGTGTCTGTTTTTATCAAAATATTTAAGATGTTTATTAAAATCTGAAGGTAGGAAGCTGTGTCATAACACATCATTGAGGCTCGTTCAGTGTAGTTCTTCAAATGAGTATTGCGGATTAGCCTTTTTAGACCTGAGTGTGTTATGGCAATAAGGAAGATGATCTATGAACAGCACAACCTGTGAAACCTGATTTCTTTAAGGATTTTTGTCCTCTGTCCCTTGCCTCTCACCTTAGAAACTCTGTTTTTCTCTGTTCTGTATGATAACGTCCCCAAAAGAGGGAGGTTGATAGGCTGATTGGCCTGCAGCTGATAACGAATGGCATATGTAAACTGGAGCCACCCAGCTTGCGGGCTTAAAACTTTAATGTAGGATACTTCCAAACACTTTTTGTAAAACGTGCTGTATCTTCTTCTGAGTGCCACCAAGCTGTGCTGGATCTGAGCTACCTACCTCGATTCTGCTGACTCAGCTGAGTGTGTTTTTTCTAACGTGGGAAGTCTTTTTCATTTTAGCTACCAGATTTGTGAGTTCATGTACGAACGAGAGCTTCGCTATGACAAAATAATCAGCTGTTACCTGCGCGATCCCGTGAGAAAGGTGAGTAAATCTTGTGCTTCTGGCCTGTCTTCTTCATAGCAGTGCTGCCTGGCCACAGTGTGAATGGGCACAACAGCCTTGCTCTTCTGTTGTACTTCTCTGTCTTAAAAAGTTATCTTCCTTTACAGTTGAGTTTTCTTACTTCTAGTCAAGGCTTTTTTGTGTTTGTGTGTGTGTTGGAGAGAAGTTAATTTTTTTTTAAAAAAGCTTCAGTTTTTCCTTTCTTTTTAAATTTAAACAATGCTAACACATAAAACCTGAGTGCAAGGTGGGATTTATTGGAAATGTTGCTAACAGCAATATTTCTTTCTTTCTGCCATTAGTGTCCCCTTTTCTCCCCCTGGACAGAGTCTCTCTGCCCTTACTATCTCTTTGCAATTACCTTCTGCATGTGTATAAGTTGCATATCTGCTACAGTTTTTGAGGTATTCTGTTCCATACCACTAACAGAAGTTGGGAGGAGTGTCTGGCAAATTTGATCTCGCCAGTCTCACCAATTTGATCTCCTTATGAAACCATTATGCTGAAAGTTGTGTGGGTGAAGGAGTCAGCAGAGATAGGTTGTGATAGTGAGACGGTCAAAAAATATGGTACAGAAGAGCATCTCGGCTGAGGAGAGTGCAGGAGAACCTGGGGGGGGAGGCTAATGTCAAAGAGGAATTTAGGAATATGCTGGGAAAACTGCCCTGCCCTCTGGTAGAGCGTTCTTTTCCCTCTCTGTGCTCTTAGCTAGAGCAATCTCCTGTCTGTCCTTTTTCCCTCTGAGCAAGAGGGGGACGTTTCTAATAGTGGAAGAACAATTCTTTGACCTCAGTGCTTAACACATTTAGCATCAATTCTGTTCCTCTTGGCTTTTCTTTCCCTGGCAGGTCTTCAGGAACTATTTAGGGACATACAATCTCGCCTGCAGATAACTTATCCTGACTTTTTAAGAGAGGACTAGCCCTGAGGTCATCCTAAGACTGTTTGAAATGCTCTCCCTTACCAAAATCTAATGCTGTTAGCGGCACTGCGGAACATACTATACCATTTATGGGTTTATGCCTTACAGGAAGAAGTTTTCAACTATATTCACAACATCCTGTCCATGCCTGGCTACAGTGCTGAAGAAAAGCAGTTGGTGTGGCAGAAAGCTTTGGAGCATGTAGAGGTACAGTGTATCCTAAACCCATGGTACCTCAGCTACTGCTAACTCCCGTTGGATCTGCCTAGTGCTGTTCTGTAAGCAGAAATGTCACAATTTTGAATCACAACTGTTTAGGAAGCTGAATTTAAGGTTCAGTAGTCTCATACGTTAATGTAGGTACATCTCTCAGATTCAGGCTGGCCTCCTTGGTTTCCTGGTTTCAAGTTTGCTCTCTGGATAACCTTATCACGGGAGGATGGCTGGTGTGAGGGCTGTGTAGCAGGGAAGGGAACCATTAGCAAGTCTTTCACCTCCTGAGCATGCAGCAGCAGCAAGGTCAGGACATTGACGTCACCGTTCTCCCAGTCTGTGGTATCAGATTCTTTGTCCTACAGTGGTAACAGCATTCAGCCTTGGTACCCTGGCACTTCCAACCCGTGGGAAGATGGGGTCGTGACCTCTACTGTGAGAGACAGGCTGTTCCTAGACTCTTCTAGCTAGTAATTTTTCCCATCTCTTCAATCTCTCTTTGCTTCAGAGGATGGAGATGTGTCTGAAATAATTGTCCAGTCAGTAGACATGGAGAATCCATAATATTTCTAGTTCCTACAAGGCGGTGTCAGTCCCCCTCCAGGGTGATCTGGAGATAAGCCAGGAAAATAACTCTGTCTATAAAACAGCCATGCACTTGCCCAGACTACTTGGCAGAAAATAGCCACAGAAATCCGTGTCCTGTGAGGTGGACAAAAAAGTACCAGATACATTCAAAAGATAGAGAATCCTTTTAGTCTCTACCAGCATCCACAAGTAGTGCGTGACTAATGAGAAAATGGACCAAGAGGGGAAAATTATTTGAAAGACAATAAACAGAGAAATTCTGTGTATCCAGCTGTATGTCATTGTCCTGGTTTCAGCTGAGATGGAATTAATTTTCTTCTTAGCAGCTAGTACAGTACCCTCATGTTCTGGGTTGTGTAAACTTCTATGATATGAAGCCTTTTAGATCAAGGTTGACAGGATGCAAACCTACAGGCATCTTCAAGAATTTTTTCCTTTTATTACAGTAAAGAGATCATTCAGGGTTTTTTTTTTTGAAGTCTGGACAGGTATATTGGTTACAGTTAAAAGTTACAGGAAACCTCAGGTTTGGTTCAGTTCAAGCCAGTTAAACACTATTTCCATTTGACTGAGAAATTCCCTAGGGTCAATCGAGGGCTTTGTTTCCTCTCTACTACTGGCTCCTAGTTGGCACTAGCTGGTCTTGGCAGGGCTAAAAGGCAGTTGTCAGAAAACCTGATGGAATAATTTCCTTGCGTTAGGACTGAGATGTGGTCTCTTTGGTGTGAAGAGTTTTGCATTCTTATAAGACCTGTTGTGTAGTAAAATCACTTTCAAAAATGCCAAACTACCCTTCCTTCTGATTGTTTTTCAAAATCACCTTTTGTGCGATGGTATTCATTATTTTACAGCTTTCATCTCAGTAAAGATGCAGTTACAATATGAATGAACTCAGTGATACCGCATAATTATATTGCCTATGAAATGAAAAGTAATTATTTTTGTTGTGTTTCCCTCTTCGAAGGAGTTGCTGTTGCTGAGCCCGTGTAAAGCAGCCGACTTGGTAGCCATTCACTTCAGTGAGCAGATTGAGAGCATCATTACAAACCTTCAGGTAAGGTGTCAAACTTCACTGGTGGTGGTGCTTCTTTACAGTGGGGTTGCCGTTCTTGTAAGAAATGATTGCTAAGAGTAATGGTAAGTCGTCACTCTCATAAATGGACGAAAAATAGTTTGATGGTTACTCAGCTGCAAGAATTGCTACGTTTTAATTATTTGGCCTGTTTGTAGAGTTCTGGCCATAAAAATGTATGATCTCTGAGGTGCTGATTGCATCACTTGGTAATGCTGGCATGGTTTAACCCCAGCCGGCATTTAAGCACCACACAGCTGCTCACTCACTCCTCCCTCCCTGCTGGTGGGATGGGGAGGAGAATGGAAAACAAAAGAAACTCATGAGTTGAGACAGAGTTTAATAGAACAGCAAAGGAAGAGAAAATAATAATAATAATGATAAAAGAATATATAAAACAAGCGATGCACAATGCAACTGCTCACCACCCGTTGACTGATGCCCATCCCTGAGTGCAGTGATCATGCCCTGGCCAGCTTCTCCCACGTTTATATACAGAACATGATGTTATATGGTATGGAATATCCCTTTGGCCAGTCTGGGTCAGCTGTCCCAGCTGTGTCCCCTCCCAACTTCTTGTGTACCTGAGTCTACTCGCTGGTGGGGTGGGGTGAGAAGCAAAAAAGGCCTTGACTCGGTAAACGTTGCTTAGCAACAGCCAAAACATCAGTGTGTTATCAACACCATTCTCATCCCAAATCCAAAATGCGGCACTATGCCTGCTACTAGGAAGAAAATTAACTCTCTCCCAGCCAAAACCAGGACAAGGCAGTTTTCGGTCTGGAGCTCAGTGTGGCTTGCACTCGGAGATCAGGCAGAGCTGCTGTCAGCAAACACATCCTCTGAGTATTTACACAAGAAAAACGTCTATACCAACTTCTTCAGCAGGCACTAGCCATCAACAGTATTTTCTTCAATGGATGTACTTCAAGAATCACTGGTTTATAGCACATTATTTAAAATAGTAATACTCTGTCGTCTCCTGTTGTATAGGACCAGTTTTTACTCTTCCAGTTTCTGAGGAGTCTCCTGGATCCAAGGTATGTAAGAAAATTTGACCATTTGCAAACTACAGCTTGAAAACGTGGGTCAAAATAAATTCCTTTGAAACCGTGTATCAATACACAGCCTACAGCCAAGTTTAGGGCTTGGAAAAGGTGACTTTCTCTTCAAAATGCACAAAGTGGAGAAGGATGACACAGAAATTAGTGTTCTGGGGACTAGCCTTTAGCAGAGCCCGTGCCAGCTTCCTAACTGGGAAGTGGTGTGGGTTCCTGTATGTGCAACGTGACGCCTCCCCCACGCTGGCTTCTTTGAGAAGGCTGTGAAATGGTCACCCTGTGACTGAAACTGCCATTTCTCTTCTCAGAAACGGCAGTTTCTGTTCTCAACCCACCCATCGATTATTTGACCGAGATGCCCAAGTTTAACATAAATAGAAAAGCATTTTGGTGTATTGGCATTTTTCATTTCTGTCTTATTTCAGAATTGCTGCCGTATCTCACTGCAAACTTCTCTTTAACCACTTGCTTGCTCCATCTGCTCCCGTTCTTTCGGTATTTCGGCACTGAGTGTTCTCTTTCTGTTGAATCAGTTTCAAGTGCTACAAGACCTTGATTTTATTTATTTATTTTGTAAGACATTTATATATGCACAGCTCCAACTGCCTTCCAGCAATTGTTAATGCAATTTAAGGCAAGATCTTGTTTTGTCAATTAGCTACAAATTAATTGTGCTTGAGGAGGAGGAGGAGGAGAAGGTGGTAATATCTGAATTTAAGTGTCAATGTTTCAGTTCTTATTGAAGTGGAATAAAAAGCATGCTTTGGAAGTTAGATCCTGGAATTAATTGCTTTTGGGATTTTATTAGGATGTAAATTAAAAATAATAATTAAAAAAAGACAGACATGTTTTGTGATCTCCTGAGTTTTACAACCTTGTTTGTATGGAAGGTGTGAACTTCCACACCTATTTTGTGTCTTAGAAGTCAGCATAAAATCAGCACTTCACCAAGAAAATATCTTGGTTGGATTCTACAGGAGATTATTTAGTTAATAAATTATTTTTTTTAATTGAAAAGTTAAGCAGAAATGGTACCCAGCTGGATGTTAAGTAGGACTTTGTTTATGCTATGATATCACTTGCAGCAAGTGAGACCCAATGAAGGTAGTAATTAACCTGGATTTTAATCTTACGCACAGAGTGGCTTCCATAATCTCTGAGTAATAAACATATCTAATTTAGCTCTACCATAATTAGAGCTAACTACAGCCATTTCTCCTGTATTTATCTTCTAAGCAAAAGCAACACATGATGTGTTCAAACCAGCAACAGGAAGCCCCTTTCTGTATCTGACCTTTCAGAAAGTTTATGAACAGTTCCTTCTCCCTCTGTGTTCCAAGTCCACAAACTCTCCCCACTGCAGTAAGATGTTCAGCATCCCAAGTAATGGAGATAAACCGTGTACTGACTGGATTGTTGTTGCCAGAATACTCAATAAGTAAAAGAACAGTGGGACAGTTATGTAGAAAAATAAAATACTAAATATTTTGGATTCACATTTGGCAGTGACCATAAAGCAGAAGGTCTGCAAGGCCAAGGTTTAGCCTTGATGATGTCAGTAAGAAGTGTTCTGTAGAGATCCTAGGTTGCTGGAGGGGCTTTTTTTTTCCTTTTTTTAATAAAACTCCAGGTCCTGTGGTCTGTTTTCAGTGCCATGAGGTTGTCTGCTTCGAAGACCTGTTGAAATGAGGTGAACTGTATCCTGAGGGAGGTAGGAAGGAGGGAGAAATCTTGCTATGCAAGACCTAATCTGCAGATATACCTGTACTCCGTAGTATATCTATACATAAAATAGCAATTATGTTCTTCTGAAAACATCTCTTTTCAGTCAATCTAAATGTTCATATGCTTTTTTGAGCAAAATTCTTATTCAAATAAAGATTCTTAGAGCAGTAAATGAGCTTTTAATGTCTTGAATACGAATGATTGCTTGATCATATGAGGACAAGACTTATCATGCTAGTATAACTATCCTAGTTGGTGGAATTGCATTAGGGATTAATTTGGCCCATTTAATTTAGCTAGAGATTTATTTTAAAGGAGGTGGAAGGGGGAAGGGAGGAAACAGGGTTAACAGATATTGCCTGGGGAAATTAAAACCAAATGTCCGTATGTTTGTATCCTCTAAGCAGCCACAGAAAACGGAGAATGGAATGTATATTGCTCAGCTCATTAATCACAACCTTTGCTACATTTCCGTTTTAAACTCTTTACGTTTTTTTCCTCTAAAAAACCCAACGCAGTGAAGCATGTCTGTTCACAGTATGTGTCTCTGTATTATACCAACAATGTTAATTTATTTAGCAATACAGTGTTCTGGGTCTATAAAGATATTAACAGATACCTAAACTTTTAGGTTCTGTTACAATGGCTCCTCTCACTAGCTATTGGTGCCGCTCACAAGGCTCACTTGTGCCAGGTTTTGTGAGAAACCAGTGGTTATCTCTTCCTTTTAGGAAAGAGCTTGTGGCGTATGACAGGGGAGATGTTTCGCCTGGTTATTTTGAAGGTGAATGTAATCACGTTGAGCTGAGCTGGACCTGTGAGTCTCCAGACTGTTGCTTAGCTTTTAACATTATCAAAATACAGCTTTCTTTCCATTCTCTCTGCATTTCTTAAGTGGAAATGGTTAAGGAAAAGGTCAGCTTGCTCATGAAGTCATGAACACTCGGTGCCAGAGTTATTTCCAGACTAGAATTTGTTCTTGTACTAAAAATGTACGACTTGCCATTTTTCCCATTTTCATAGACGGAGCTCACTTTAGATAGAAAGTGCTTCTTTATTGTAGTCTAGTCGCAAAAAGAGTAGAACGCTTGCTGCCTTACAGGCATTGGGGGAGTTTAGAGGCGTGTGTTGTGGGAGGAGTGGATGGTGAACACAGGAGGCCAGAATTTAGGGTTCTTGTTTGGTCCTTCCAAAGCCCATTCTTTATTTGATGTCAGAACACAATAGTTTGCATACCAATTTTTTATACAGCTGTGTCCATGCGCAGTACCTGCGTCAGGCTTTCATTTCTGGGCAAATATCATCTATAATCAAGTGACTGACGTTGTAATCACAGTAAGCTCCTTTTGGCTTGCTAGGGGCATAGTGTTCTCCTGGCCTTTCTTGGATGATAATAATCCTGTTAGTGTTCATAGCTCCCAGGAAATAGAGGATCATATTGTGTATCAGACCTTTTCCATCCCATGGCTGTAGGGTTTGCACATCAACACATCTTCTGATTAGGAATTTCTGTTCAGAAAGGTAACAAAACTAAATACATACCTTGATCTGTTTTCTTTCCTAGCAGGAGCTTCAGGACAGGTTTGAGCCCTGTTTCCTAAACAGGATAAATGTCTGCTGTTTCTCTGCATGACGCATCAATCCTAGAACTGCCACATGAAGTTTAACCTTGGTTGGTGGTGGTGAAATGTTGTTCATTCTGAAGGGTTGCAGGTGCTATATCTATCTCTAGGAAAGTATCATCCCTTCCATCTGAACTCTTTGAAATCTCTTGCTTTGTGTTGCTCTTCTTAAAAAGAAGATAGGAGAAAACAGTCAGGACACAGGGACAGTCATGGGCACTGCACGCAATTCTGTTCTCTGTTTTGTTTCCCCCACATTAGGAGTTTACTTAATAATAAGCCAAGGGATTAGAAAACGGGCACTGCATGAACCAATGCAGTGCCAGCAGCTGCTGCTGGAAAGGAATTGGAGAAATCCTTTTTTACAGGGACATCTTTATTAAATGAGTTGAATTGTACTCTGAGCTTCACCAGCAGAAATGACCTCAGCTAGAATCAGAAGGAAGGTCCTAGTTTGGCCCCTGAATGGCTCAGGCCAGGCAGCATCATCCACAGCCCTAACCAGAAGAGAGGATTGTCAGGTCTGCACTGTCAACAAAGGTCGAAAAAGAATTTCAGGAGCAATAAGCAAAAACCAACAAAATATCTCTTCAAACACATACAGAGAAGGTCTATAGGACAAATAGATAATAGGCATCTAAAAAGACCACTTGGAGGCCATAAGGTTTCATTGAAGACATTAGGTGAGTTCTTTGTCCCTCTTTCCCATAGAATTGCTGAAGAGATGTCTGCAATGGAATCTTTCTTCACAGGGGTCTTTGATAGTCGAATTTATACCGAGGCATCAGTAGAATATGTTGTGGAACAAATGAAATGCCTACTAACAGACCTTCAGCACCAGTAACTACTAGAAACAGGATAATTTTTCTTTTAAAACCAGGGTTTTTTTACTTCTGTGTTAAGGATAAAAGCACACAACCGAGTAAGAAACTCTTCTTGCCAGCCAAACTTCCGGGCTCGAATTTGACTTGAGTGTCCTGTGCCTTTTTTATTCCAGAGAAGGCATTAACCAAGACCTGATACACTTACCGCCCTGCATCACTGAGCAGTTCATTGAGCTGCTGTGTCAGTACAGCCCAGACCAGGTTTTGGAGACACTTAAAGTTCTGGAATACTGCAGACTGGAAGAAACCATCCAGGTAGGAAAGATATATGTATAAGGACAGGGGCTAGGGGGAGCATCCAAATCGTCTCCTACCTCTTTAAAGTACTGTAAAAGTATTTTAGCCTAGGTTGTGGATTCTAATCCATTTCTAACACTGTTTGTCCCCTCGAGCTGCTCAACTGCTCTCCTGCAGCGTGGTTAGCTATATTTAATATATTGATTCTGAGTTTAGTCTCAGGGACAATAAGAAAAAGGCTGTTGGTGTTCTGAAGCTACTGAGTAACTGCAGAATAGAGACTGGCTGTGTTAACGGTGATGAATATATTGAAGGTATATGAAATCATGGCCTGGGGGTTTTGGAAAGCAATGCTGCCAAAATTTGACTAGTGACTGTTTCTTCTGAAAATTTTAACAATAATTTGTCCTTGATCTTGATTTATAGGCTTTCTTATTTTCTTTTTTTAAGCTGGTGGTGGCAATAGTGCAGGTTGAAAAATAAATGCAGCGTAGCCGGTGGGGGGAGGAAGCAGGAGTGCTGCTCAGACTGGGTAATGTGCCTGTGAACACATGGAGACGCAATCCTTTCTGACCATCTGGTCGTCATTGTCTTGTGGAGTAAACAAACACTGGCAGATTTCTTAAGATAGACATTTACCTTTTTTTTTTTTCCCCCCCTTTTAACTCAGATAACCCAGAAACATCAGCTCCATGAAGCTTCTTCATATTTACTGGAGAAGAAAGGAGATATCCATGGTGCCTTTTTGGTTATGCTTGAGGTACAGTACACTGAAATCCCGCATGTGGCATTTTTGCCATGCCAGGGTGTCGTGTCGTGTCATGCCATGCCATCAGCATGACGGCCTGGATTCAGGTTTGATCTTGTCATTGCTTCTCAATTTGTTTCCCACTGGAAATCATGGAAGCGTTTACCTTCTGTCACATAACAATACGTTGAGTTGTCTGCAGACTCAGCAGATCAGCGTGTTTTTCTGGCATGTCTTTAAACATCTAGTAGATAATAGATGCTGAAATTTTTCTTAATCAAAAATCACCTTTCAGCTCCTGTTTTCCTTTCCTTGTTTGGAAAGACATTCATGCTATGTTAGTTATACTGGGGAAGAAAATGAGGGTGAGCCTTGGTAACCAGACCTTTTAAAAACACTTCTGTCGAGATTCTGTGAGTTTACTGTTCCGAGTTCTTTCTCATTTCAGCGATTGCAGAGCAAGTTGCTGATGCTTACACAAGATGATGAAAGTAAGAGTTATCAAGTTAGATTCCATTTCCTATTAAAAAGAGACAAACACAAAAATGTAAAGTGCATATGTCTGACACCTGGCATAATGAGATCCTCTTTTGGGTTTCTAGGTATTGTGGTGACGTGTTTAAAATTTATATTCACATGGCTGTGGTAGTTACTCTGATGCTTCCTTACTCTGTTATTCTGATCTCTGGCAAGATCAGTGTAAACAAAATGCGATGGATTTTCATGTGTGTGGGCATCTGCCCTGGTAGCTCTCTCCATTGTGACTGGTGCTCTTAGCGCCTTACCATATTTGTTACCTAATTGTATCCTAAACCACAGCTAAGATCTTCCTTATTCAATTACATGAAATGTTTTATATGCCCAGTTTATTGCACTGTCAGTAAAAGTGTCAAAAACCAGGACCTGTTTTTATAATTTAGTTGCTTGCTGTAGTGAACAGATTTTAGAACAGCAGCATTATTTTATTTTGCAGAATGATTGGGAGTTCACATATCTAATGGTTTTTATAATTGCAATTTGTGTTTTTCACCAAAAAACCTAGACTCAGCTGAACTCCCCTTGCTAGAAAACGTTGAAGATACTTTAATGAAGACAATTGCCCTTTGCCGGAGGAATTCACACAATTTAGACCAGCAACAGCGAGAGGTAAGGTAATTAAAAAAACTATTGCTAAAATCAACAGAGGCCTCTGCATCTCCTGAAACTTTCTCTTCAGACGCTGCTTCCTTTCCCTGTCTATTGAACACTGATATGTCTCAAGCAGTCATTGTTTTCCTCTGCCTTGTGGTATTCTTGCAGTGGTTCAGGTTTCAGACACACACGAGAGAAATCCTCACTTGTCAGGGTGAAGCACAAAATAAAGTGCATAGCAGCAGCAGAGAAGCAGGTGAGACAACAACCTTCTCCCCATTTTTAGCTCTGGTTAAAATTTGGTTTGAATCTCATTCAGACACTAAAGAAGGCATAGTAAGGTTTGCGCCAACTTGATGGTTGCACAAAGGTGATGCTGCTCTTGCTGTGGCTGCAGAATATTGCTGTTCTGAACATGCTCACAAATCCTGAATTGAATGTCAGCCTGGTCTTTGAGGGGTGGAGACAATACAGCTTGCTTGAGCTCTTGCAGAGAGAACTGGGTTTGCCAGTCTCCTTGTACTGAGGTTGCATTTCCATTTTGCCAACATCAGTGACGTAGAACGCATCTCCTAAGATTATGCCCAACGTCTTATGTAAGTGAACTCAAAACTGAGAACGTTGTTCCCGTGTCTGACAATGTGGCATGTCTGGAAGTCGAGAATTCCGTAATTTCTTCCAAACACTGTCCTATGTATGAGGTGACCTGCTCAGTTTCTTCTCTTAAATGATTTTATTGCACAACAGATAGTTGCTGTGTTTTATTGAAGAGGTGTCTGTGTGCACATCCTGTGTGCTTATGGCCTGCCCGCCCAATTGGATAGATTTGGGTTAGTGTTTGCTCTCACTCTGGGTCCTGTTCACCTGCTGGAATTGCTTTGTCGGTGCCCAAGTAAGATGTTACTCTGGTCACCAAACGAAGGACCAGCTTCCTCAGGACAATATTATGTGAATTTAGTTGGAATCTGTTTACTCTGCTACCCATTACATAAACAGTCTCTACACCAGAGAGTTTCCTTCTCACGTGGAGAAGTAGTTGGGGACTGAATGAAGTAAAAGTAGATTGTTGTCACAATTCCAGTCAAGAAACAGGTGAGAATGGAGGAGGAGACAAGGGTCTTCTGTGCTTAGACCCCAATCAAATAGTATCTTGGTCTAAGATATGAGCAGTCCAGACTGGAAGTGGATTTCTAAGCGCTTTGCTCTGAGGTTATTTTAACATGTTTCAGTTCTGTTCCATTGCAGTCGTGAGAAATGTAGTTCTGTTCTTCAGAATGTGGAAGTGAGCTTTTGGAAATGGACTCTGACATTGGTCACAGCTCATTTTTAGTACTGCCGTATTCTTACGGGTTTTTTTCCTTGTATTTGATTATTTCAGGCCCTCTGGTTTCCCCTGCTGGAGGCTATGATGTCCCCCCAGAAATTATCTGGTTCTTCACAGTGTCGATACTCCAAATGTAAGTATTTTGGCTTTTGTGACCCCAAATATTTATCGTAATCTGTGTGTTGTCTCTCCTCCTCTGCTGAATGAATAGAAGAAAAGCAGTTGTGTTACTCAACCCCTGAATTTTCTGCTCCTGCAGTAGATCTGAACTGCAGTGACTGTAGGACTGAGCTCGGCTTGGGTGTTTGGCAGGCTGCAGCTCTCAGCCAGATAGTTGGGTTTTTTTAGTCCTGAGTGGAAGAGGGACCCTACCAAAGCCTCCGTTTGTAAGTTAGTTCCATTGAGGATGGTCTCTTTGAAAAAGCCAGGGTGCACAGCATGTACAAAGAATTCCCATGTTGTAAGTAGGTTGCTGTCTGCACTTTGGGAACTTCTGATGTAATGCACAGTCATCTTCCATGCCTAGCCTTTTTGTACGCTTATCCCTGCACCTGTCTATTGTATATAAAACCAGTAGAACTTGAATACACCAGCTACATTCTTTACTCCGGTTCCAGTGCCCTGAATCTGTTGCAGGTGTCAGCAGCACATCCTGAAAACTTAAGACACTCAAGCTTGAGGCTTAGGACTAGCTAAAAAAGGGTTTAGACAATGTGGTCTTGGACCAAAACACATTATTCTGTCCCATTCCAGCCCTGTGCTCCACAGTGATTACAGTTGTGCATGGTTCAGGATCACAGCGTATTACAAGTGTGGTGGTTATCATGCTGCCCATACTCCCTCTGTTTCCTTACAGTGACCATTAGCTATATCTGGACTCCTGGGGATAGTCTTGCAGAGATCAATAACCCAAAAATAAAAATCACCCCTCTTCCCTCAACTCATCTTTTCCTCTAAGTTCAGAATATCCTCTAGATTATCCATTTTTGGGAGCCAATGCTTGCAGAAAAGTCATCATCTGAAGTGATACCAGAAATGATGAGAGGATAATAAAACTGGATCCTGCATAACTCTCTTGTTTTCATTCCTAATGTGCATACTTCCCAAAAACTGCTCTAACTAGCTAATTATCCCCACAAAGAACCTGAATTGCTGGGTCCATGCATATCTCCATACTTTGGGGAATTGGGGATCGAGGAACAAGCTTCATGCAAAAGTTAATACTAGGAAGTTTTAGAGTCTGTGGGACTCTAACATGGACAAGGCATCCAAATTGTTTTTCGGTAGCAGTAGGAAAAGTGAACGACAGTGCTGCAAAGTAAGTCTCAATGTGAATGTTTACTGTAGGTCGGGTGTGGGAGAGGCATCATCATAGCGAAAACTTTAAAATATACTTTCTGATACAAAAAGCTGCGTGTGCTTAGTGCAAAACATGCAGAAGAAAAAAATATCAAAACTGTTTTCAAACTAGAAAACATGAGCTGGAATAAAACTCTTAATCTGGAAGATCAATCTCTCTTTACTCCTTCAATCCTAACTAACGAACTGATGGTGGCTTTTATGTTTGATGTTTCAGCTTTGAAGAGTTTGACAATGCAGGTGCTGAACAACATGGCTGCATTTATTGCTCTTCCTTCAATCCTGCAGAGAATTCTACAGGTGAGTTTCTGAAGAGAAGCAGCCTTTACGGAGCTGTGCCATTAAGTTATTGGAAAGAGCTGAACACGTTCCTGATGTGATAGCAATTTCCACATTGTTAAAGATCAGATTAGCTAATATTGCGTTACTTTGAACTGAAACTTTGCAGTTTTAGGGGCAAAGCCACTATGAATTTCTCAAAACTTGGAACTAAATTTGCTGAAAGGCATTTAGCTAAAGCTCTGGGATGGACAAGTGTGTGGGCTTTGGAGAAAGAGATCAAGACTGGGCCTTTTTGATGGTGCAATGTATTATTTCAGAGGTGTTAGTGAGCAACAAAGATCTTGTAGAAGGGCTGATTTCAAAACAGGATCTTGGGTTGAGTGATTACAAGTAGATATAATTTGTTAATTTGAAAAATAGATGAAAGATTAGGTTGGGATTTAATAGCAAACCTTGAGAAATGCAGAAAATGAATTAGAGAAATTCTCTGCATAGTGGAGTGATTGAAGGGTTGAGAAAGTGTTGAATTACTCTTCAGGGTTTCTATTCCTGATGAGAGAAGAAACTGTAGAAAAGGGCTTACAGGCTTCACAGGGTGAACACACCTCTAGCAACCTAGTAGTTTGATCTCAATATTATGCACAATCTTGCATATGGATTTTGGAAAAAAAATCATAAAGACAGTGAAAAATGTTGTAAAAGAGTGGATAGAAAGCATGATCAGATGAAATATGGTTTTATCAAAGGCAGAAAGTGTCGAGCAAACTTAATGCCTCTTCAATAACTTATTTCGTCTAGTTTTAACTGGGGCATTAGATAGAGTTTCCTGTCGGGCTTTGTTTGATGTTTAATGTAGGCAGGAAATGATACAGAAGTTGTGAATGAATAAGTGGGGGGGCTGACAGGGAGGCTTTCCTGCGTTATGGTGAGAATTACCAGAATGGGGCGAGAGGCAAACCAGTGACCCCTGTGAAGACAGCCCAGCTGGGAGGTGTTACGGTGTGGAGGAAATTCCTGTTCTCCTTCGGGAAGAACAGAAATTGTTGTTTGCAGTCTCCAAACATTTCATCCCATTTCTGTTCTTACAGACTCTTTTTGCAGAAATAGAAAACCCCTTTTCTAGAGGCTCGCATTGTGACATGTGCTTGTCAGTTGTGCAGGGAAGTGGTTGGTGTGATGGCACCTATCGCAAAGGATAACGGGATGCTTACGGTGCATCCGGTGAAGTACTTTTACTAGGGACAGAAATGTGTAAGGCATTATTTAAAGCAGCACGTGCAACTCTGGTTGCTGGGTTTGGAGGCAGGGGCGATTGCTCCTGCTCGCTCCATTTCCCTGGTCAGCCTTACAAATTCAGTCTGACAAAACAGAGATTTAAAAAGGCAAATGTTTCTGTACAACTAGAGGAAAAAATGGAGAGAGATGATGACTTCTTAAAATGCATTCAGAGAAGGACTGAATTCCAGGTAAAGAATGTTAGTATCAGCACTTCATCAAACAGGAGTAGTAATTGGTACCTCGTAGCTCAGAAACAGGTGTAGGGGAACTAGTGTCATAAAACTCATTAGAAGATCCTACGGAAGGGAAGGTGGTATTTATTTACAGGATCTCTAAATAAATTGACTTTGCCTCTTAACACTCATTCTTTTATAGATTTCATTCACTCACACTCACGTATTTGCAAACACCTAAGATGTATGGGAACAAGTGATCGGACCTGGATTGTTTGTGGGCAGTACAGAGAGTGTCAGCCCCTCACTGCCTCTCTGGGGTTCTTCTGATGATGACAGCTTAGGTTTGGACAGCTTAGTTATGTCTTTTAGAAGTTGCTGGCTGTTATAAGGTGGATTTTTGCATCTGAATCTCACTTAAGCTTCCACAAATCTTAAGCCAGATTGCTGCACATTTTGTTTTCCCTTGTTTGGAACCTAGGTTTGAAATACACGTCTGTAGTCTGCTCTCCTGTTGGGCTAACAGAAAAGTGGTGTGTGATATCCTGCAAATTTGTCGTCCTCCTCTCATCAGGAGATGAGGTCTTCCACTGTGACTTCTCTGTCCTGGGCTCTTACCAGTCTGCTGCTGTCAGTGCTTGACACCCTCCCAGCTTTGCAGCTGGGAACAGCGTCCTTTGTTACCAAGGCAGACCATTCATTTAACCCTTTGTTCTTGTGCTTAAAAACACACATTTCCAGTCAACTGTCTTCACACCAAGCTTGATTTCTGGGATTGCGTTGCTCTAGGTCACTTTTGCTTGTGTGTTTGTAGCTGTGTTGTATTAAACTTTTGCTTCAGGGCTTGCACTGGATGCCTGTGGGAGGTTTTCTTTGGGTTTTATTTTGGTGCACAGCATGGCTCTTGGAAGAATGTTTGCTTTGAATTCGGCTGGGAAGACGATGTCGGGAATGGTGATGAGTCTTACCATGTGGCCATGTCTTTGGGCTCCTAGCTCAAATGTTCAGGGTTCTGAACCCTTACCATCAGGAAAGAAACTCCCCCTGTGTTAGACGGCAGGGAGCTGTGGATTTGTTGCCTCCCTGCGTAGTGTGACCTGTCATCTGCTTCCTTGGATTATCTGGGAATGCCATTTAAGTGCCCTGTGGGGAAGAACAGCAACACAGCCTGTACACATGCTGTTTCCCCAGAACACTCTGGCTCAACTGCTTTCTTGGCTAGGAAGATCTCCATTTTGTTAGCCCTGGGTGGGTGTTCCTTTTGCAAAGCTGTGTAATTGCTCTTTGAAGCCGTGTAAAATTCTGAACCCTGGTGCCAAGCCGTTGTGTCTTGGCTCTGAGCAGCATGTAGGGCCTCGTTCAAAATGTTATTCATGTGCCACTTTACCTGTGACCAGAAGTAAATTCTTAAAGCAGTTCTTCTGGGCCCTGGAAAACATAAAGCATTTCCCAAGCTCTCAAAATATTTCTGTGAAACCCAGAATTATAAGTGGTGCTTGTCTGGAAAATGCCCTCAAAAGCTGCTCCAACAGAGGTCAAGTCTTGGTGGTAGAGCTGCAGGTCTGGAAGGTAGAACAGCTGCCTGGGAATTAACTGGGGGATTTTTTGTAAGGTGGATGACATCAATAAACTGAGGTAGATTATCTTGCCTTTTCTGAAAAGGAATTAGAGTATTCCAATTTTAGTGGACTGTTTTTCTTCTTCTTCTGGGCTTAACTGCTTATAGATTATACTTTATGCAAATGTTAACTTTGCAATCAAAATGCTTTGCTAAAGGGCACCTTGCAAAGGGCTATGGCCAGACTCCGCAGCTTTCACAGAAAATAGGTAGGCTCTGGGCATCTGCCTACTGCAGCGTATTGACTTAACTTTATATAACTGAAGTCATATGAAATAATGATTAATATATTTATGTTCTTGCTCATCCTTAATAATGTTTTAAAGATATTTATTAAATAGGAAGTCTGAAATAACTGTATTAGGAGAGATACTAGAGGAATCCTCTTGAGCATTAAGAAAAATTCCATGTCATTAAGGATGTGAAAGCTGTCTGAAGAGGGCTGAAAGGTTGAGTGTTAATTCCCTTACAAAGCTGTAATCCTTCATGAATGTTTTGTAAGTAGATGCAGCTGATGCCTCCTACAAAATGGAGAACTGGAGAGGCCAGAAATTTAAAATTTACCTGTAGGTACCCCAAAGTGGGGAAGGAAGGAATCCCTAAAATCTGTTACAGAGTGGAAGCAGAAAGATCCAAAAAAACCTTTGCCTGAATCTCTTCTGTCCCTGCTTAGGGCCCTGCTTGGGGTTTTTATTCTTTCCAGTCCTGGAGGTCAATGCTGGCATTAGTGTTACGTACAATAGTTGCTCTGTCCCCTTGCAGATGGGACAAGCTGCAAGTGAATGCCTTTTCTGAGTTCACAGTGCATTTCTTAGCACTGTTCAGTGAGTGCTGTTAGCAAAGAAAGTGCTGTTTCCTGGAGCCGGGAAGAAACTGGAAATGGAGGAGACAGAACTGGCTGAAAGGCTGCGTGATCGCCTCTGGCTTGCATCCTGATACCTGCCAGCTTTTCCTGATCTGTTTGTTGGTAGCGGTGCTGGGCAGTGAGTTTGGCTTCGTCTTACCATGCTAAGCGTTGCCATGTTCCCAGGGAAATGCCAGCCTGGGAACAGCAGCCGGGATCTGTTCCTGGCTTGGTGCAGCTTGCTGTTGTTACTGAAGTGCTATCCTGTCCAGTGCATTTGGAGCATGCATAAATTCCAAACCGAGACAAATTTTGTAAGGTGGAATTAATGAAACATAGTCCTCCATAAAAGTAAGCGATCCCACAAGGCTCTGGTGACTGTAAATTTTGTGGGGGCTGAAACCAGCAAATTGGAAGACTGCATTATAACTTGCTGGAAACGTGAAATTCAGCTCTGGATTCCATGCTGAAGGCAGGGAGAGCGCTGTGACCCAGGCCTCTGAAGTGCTGTCTTCGCTGGCTGCTGGCAGGAAATGTGCCTGAGCTTCACCGCTTGTACTTGACTGCCAGGCTCGGTACAAGGTTTTGCAAGACCAAGTGGCTTCTCTTTGGAGAAAAGTCCATTCTCTTCCTACCTGCCGTTTTTTTAAAGATCATTAAGCGTGACTTGAGAAAAACTGAGCAACTGAAAGTTGGCCCTCAGGCTCATGTTCCTTCTTTGCAAAGCTGTAGGTGGCTCTTTTATTCCTCTCTCTTTGTGTCTCCTCTTCCTCCTCTCTCTCCAGACAAGAAACAAGTTGCTTTGAAAGTCTCTACTTGCAGCTTGGGAAGTTTGAGTTGCTACATGTAAATGATTGCATCTGTACAGTTTTGAGAGTTACCTGTTTGAGTTTCCTTGGCCATATACTTGAGTGCTTTAGAAAAGTATCTGGTAGATACAAAAATAACTTGCTCTATGTTATGGATCACGTACATGCTGCGTTGGAAGTCCTGAGTTCCCTGTTGCCCTCCATAATTCATATGGTGACTCAGTGTAGTGTATTTTCTACGCTGTTGCTTTTAAATTATGCATGCGGAAAGAAAACTTAGTGTTGTTTGAGGCTGTACTGTTTGTCTAGTAAAAAAGTAGACTCTGCAGCATGTCAAGCTCTTCTGTATATTCCCAATCTACAGCTGGTTTTGACTCAAGTGATATTACTCAGTGCTATTTTTATTTAGGCTTGAACGTTGGCGTTTCTGCCTGTCACGTTTCCTCTGAAGACTCTTGTTCAAAAATTGCCTGATTAGTTTCTATAGCTGTTTTGGAGATCTCTCTGGGTATCTTGCTAAGCTTACCCCAGAGAAGGGGATGATGCTGAGTTTGTAGCAGGCCTAAGGAAGGTGGTTGAGATACACCAGGGCAATGACTTGCACCACAACCCTTCACTTGTTCTGCTGGGACACAGAAATAAAGCTTCTCAGGGCACACGGAAATCATCCCTGCAGCAACAGCAGAGCCCCAGGCCCCTGTTCCCTAGCTGGTTTTTGTGACCTGGGCTGTGAGAGCAGGATTGCCCAGGATTCCGCATACCTCTGCAGCCGCACAGCCCCCCGGCCCTCTGCTCTTTCAGCCTGCAGCTGAGGGGTGTTGAATGAGCTCGGGGCAGAGCCGTGGATGCACAGAGACTCAGCAGTGAATTAATTACCCTCTGGCACAGGCAAGAGCGCACCGGCAGCGTGGGGCCCGGAGCCCTGTGGGCAGCCCAGCAGCTTGCTGACCAGCAGACACCCCGAGCAGTCGGTGTGAAGTCGCAGCACAGCACAGACGGAGTTGATGCCTCCTGTGTCGCTGCGCAGTGCTTTCTGCCATTTTCTTTGATCTTCCTCAAATGCATTTTTCCAGTCATCTCCTGAATCTCCTGAATGAAGTTTCCAAGGTCACATGTGAAGTCTTTTGACCCAAGCACAGTAATTAGTATTGATGTTGTCATCTGCTCCATTTTGCTAATTACCAATTTTCCCACCAATACATAGGATTGTTCTGCTGTCCTTGTGCATGTACAGCATCTTTAAATCCAGAGTCATAACTTTGGTTTGCGATGCCAATCTGGAGAGCAAAAAACTAAATTTAAAAAAAGTCAGAATGCTCATATCTTCTCATTCAGCTGCAGCTTTTCATTTCTTCATACAGGATCCAGTTTACGGAAAAGGGAAACTTGGAGAAATTCAAGGACTTGTCCTGGGAATGCTGGACACTTTTAACTATGAACAAGTAAGTTCCGTGCACTTCTGTCCGCTCCTGTATACAGGGATTACTTTTAGCTATCTAGCCTACTCTCTCTCATTTGCCATTTCTCTCTGCAGGGCAAAGTACATGGACATGCATGTGATTTATAGTTCTGTGACTGGGGGAAGGGGGATGAGTTTGTATTGCTCACAGTTTGTAAGTGAAGGCACCAACAGGTACATGGTGAACTGTAGCTCAGTTTTATGTTAAATGTACTGGAAGGATCAACATCTGCTTTTTTCTCCAGCTCATCCTGCAGTTAGGGATTCAAAGGCACAAAACCAGATTGATTTGTCTTTTTATGTGGTTTTAAATAAGAGCTTTTTAAATTAGGCCGTTTTGCCACTTTCCAATGGCAGTGCTGTGCTTCCTTTGTCACCCGATGAGATTTCACTTTTATCTCACTCCTGCCTTTCTCTGTCCAGTCTCAAATCCCAGGCAGTGTCCAAACTTCAGCAGTTTTCTAAAACTCCTTTTCCCCCAAACAGAACGCATAGTCTTCCTCCAAACTCGCCCTCCCTCGTTCTGTCTACCACATGGCGCTACCATCCCAGCTACTGCTCAGGCCTCCATGCAGCAGCATCCAATTTAAAAATAAAATGGCAAATAGCTTTACTGTAGAGCGCTGAACATAAAGAGCCGTTATCTCTGGGTTCTTGGGAAAGGTCTGCTCTGAGCAGGTCCTCTGTCATTGCCTGCCAGTCGTCCAGTACGGGCTGCCTGTCACATCTGGACTAGGCCAGATGTGAATCACCGGTGCAACTTCTGCACCTTTTGTGAATTGCTGCTACAGAGCATCGATACGTCACAGGCTTGTTACCGAAAGCACTGACTGCTAAAAATTAAGGGTATTTTGATTTTTGGCTCTCCAGAAAGGGAAATCTCAGTTGGGAAGAGCTAGCAGATGAGTAGTTCAGCATTTTTTTGTCTTTTAATTGTGATAGTGCATTTGGGCATTGATTTTTATTGGCATGTTTCTACTAAAATGGAGCACAGAAGCAGTAGCTTACCAAATGGGGGGGGGGGGAAGGGAAGAAGAGTCTGGTATGGAAGATGACAAAATGAGCCTACTGTGTGTCTCTTAATGCTCTTGGACAAAAATCAATAAAGCACTTACCTTTTCACTCGTAAATAGATATCGCCTCCATTAACATGTGATAAAAGGATAAGTATTTTGAGGGCAATGGCTAGATAGAAAACATGTAAAGAGAAGCAATTTTGTTGGGTTGATTTTGCTGTTAGTAATCTGCTAAGCTGCTTGTTGTGAAGAATTGATCAGTATGGAGTTTGTGCAGTCTGGAGATGACAGTGACCTAGTTATTCTGTATATTGTCTTCCACACAGACCCTTTTAGAGACAACTACGAATCTTTTAAACCATGATCTCCACTGGTCCCTGTGTAACCTAAGAGCGTCTGTCACTAGAGGGCTTACCCCAAAGCAGGATTACTGCTGCATTTGTCTACAGCAGTACAAAAGAAGGCAAGAAACTGCTGATGAAATCATTGTTTTCAGGTAAAGTTAAAGGTCACAGCTGTGATCATGTTAGTAGTTTTAAAAGAAAAGAAAGAGAGTGAGCTACTGGTCTCTGACTGACACAAGTAATCATATCTATTGCTGTGAGCTTGTATCCCTGCTGCCTTGCACTGTAAATGGGCTGGCTAATCAGACCCGTCAGAGCCAGCCTTCTTTGCATGCAGCCAGCTCTGTCTCGGCCAAAATTGCATTACAGTTCTGCAAGAGCTGTTCAGTAAGCTGTCAGTTTATCTGTCATCTCTCCCAGCAATGCGGTTTGTGCAACTGCAGCACCCTGGGTTTATTTGCCTGTATTTGTACCTCTCGGATTCATCGCAGCCCTGACTACGTACTCTGTTGGCATCTCTGATTTTCTTGTCTGTGACTAGGTGGTTGTAAAATGAGACACGATCATTATTACCTGAGTGTTGTGATCTGTAACTGTGTCAGCAAATGGGCATCTACCATTATATTTGCAAGCCTAGAAATACTACAGGAGGGTGTGGAGGTACGAAGGGAGCGTACACACTGCTGATCTGTATTTACAGAGAAGCCGCCTTGTTTTCCATTGACCAGAGATTTCCCCTCCAAAGCGTAGAGCTGGCAGGCTGTGTTACCCTGCTTTCAAGCACTGAGCAGAATTCTTCTCTTTACAGCTGCGGCCACTTGTACCATTCGCTGTGTTTGCTGAGTAAAGAGTGTGGGACGGTAACCAAAGGCATGATGAGATGGATGTGCTATAAATGCAACTCCAGTAACAAGGGAGGAAAACTGAGCGAGAACTTCTCAGAGCTAAAAAAAGGAAGTGGAGCATCCTTGGCACAGGTAAGGTTTGTGAGGCAGTTTCTCTTCAAGTAAGCTTTGAGCAGTGCTTATCGACTTCATCACTTTGTTCTCATGTTGGTCTTTGCTTCCACATGAGCCCATGATCAGTAACTGTCAAACAGTATCTGCAGTTAATTGGTCACGTTTATGAATGTCATTTTGTTTTGGCGTGGGTATACAGAGCTGTGTGAGAAATAGAAATGTGGTCATCCAGGTTTGGGAACCGCTAGCCAGCGGATGTTGCAGCTGATTGCCTCTTAGATGCATCCACTGCTTTGTCTTCTTTGTGAGAGCCTGGGATGGGCCACTGGGGACAGGTCCTTTCAAACTATTTTAGGTGTGTTTTATAGAAAAATTCCATTAAAAGCTGGCATGTTCCTTGTGGCTGGATCGTGGAGCCTTCGTTCTATCTTCCTAACTGAAAACCTGGCTCTGGGTAAAAGATCCGGAATTGTTTCAACTCGCTAAGTGCTCGCTTTAAAAAAGCTTACATGTAAACAAGACCAACGCAGCTGGATTTGGGTGAAAGAACGGATAATTAGTTTGTATTTACTGTCAGTATTTGCGTGCAAGAAGTTTCACCATCCCCAATTCAAACAGAAGTCCAGTCTTGATATGCATTCTTCTGTCTCTTCCCCGGCACGGTACTGTGGATGGTAAGCAAAAATGGCAGGAAGCTTGTTGGGATGTCTTTTATGGCACCAGGGGAAGCTGAACCCCTCTGCCCTGTGTGCCAGGGAAAGCGGTCACTGGCGAGGGTTTGTTCCGAAGTGCCTGAAGGTACTTTGTGCATTTGTCACCGCACAGATGCATGCAAAGTAACGTTTTTCCACTTCTGAAAACAAAGTGATTCAATCTTGGAGTATGTTTTTATAGTACTACTTTAGTTTTCCTCTAGCAGATTATTTCAATTTCTGCCAAATCAATTCCGATCAAAGATAGCTAACAGCATTAGTCAACTTCCATCAGCTTCTGTATCAACAAAGAAGCTTCCTGCTTGAAGGCAGACCTGGGGGAAACTAATCTCTGAGGAAAGCATGGAGCGCAATGCAATCTTTGCAGTCAAATCGTGTTGGTTTCTTACACGGTGACAGAAAGAAAAGCTCTCCCAGGAGATGGTAAATTGACTGTGGTCCCCACAGTCTGCTTACAAATGCTCGTCATTTTGTGTACTGTCCTGCTGCAGTGAAATAGAGATACTGGCTCTGAAGTCAGGCAGCCCCGTGTTTTACCCTCTACGCTTCTGCTCCAAAGGAGTGGGTGCGAATGGGTGTGACAGAGACCACTTTAAAGGGTAAAGGCAAAATTAAGTACTGAAACTACATTCATCATTAAAGTGCCTGGCATTTTATAACAGTGCCTTGTAACTTGGTTATCACTGGGCTTCTCGTGAGCTGGCCAGTTGGAGAACCCCTGTGTCTCCCCTTCAACACCCGTCTGGACATACCCTGTCCAGAATGAAGCAGAAAACACCCCAGATGACATAGGAATGATCAGGCAGGGAGGAGAAGATGCTTCCCTTGATTTAACTGATCCATCTGCAGACGTGAGGGTCTGGCTGGGACTCTGAGGAGCCGTGGAGAGTCTGCCCGGGGAAGAAAAGGGGGGTTACAATACAGATCATCTAGCGCAGGCTACAAAACGTCCATGCCAGACCATCTGAGAGTGCTGGATGCTTCCCTGCTGTCATGTGCTTTTGGCAGAGAAGCCCATCGCTTCCTGCTCTGTGTGCAGCCGGCCCAGCAGAGCTTGGCTCTGGCTCTTCGGAGCCCAAGTGCTACTCCAAGCCCCCCCCCATCCTCCTGATGTCCCAGATCCTCTCCAAGTTTGTCATGTTCCTCATATATTTAAATTATAATATTTAACTGTTGTGCTCGCATGTGATTAAACTGTTGCGCAGTCAGATCTTTAAAAAGCTGAATATATTTAGACTTGGCAAAAGACTCTAAAATCTCTAGCTTCTCCAGGAAGTTTGTTTGCTTAACAATCGCTGCTCAGTGGTGTAATTAACCCTTTGAGGTAACGATTCATCTGGCCAGGCAGTAGTCTGAGTTACAGAACAGACTTTTTCGTCTTGGGGAAGTGCTGGGAATGCAGTCGAGGAGATGGATGTGTGTATTGCCTGGCTCCGCAGGAGCCAAAACCAGAAGGGCGAGGAGGGTTGCCTGGAGCATGGAAGCGCTCGCTGGAGGCAGGCTGGTGCATGCCAGTTTGGCAGGGTTTGGTCTCACACAGCGTCAAGTACGTTTAAGCAGAGAATTAAGCATGAAAACAGCTAAGCTCCCCACGCTTGTTTGGATGTGACACTGGTCTGCGCAGAACAGAGGTCTGTTTGACAGATGCGTTTTCTACAGTAGCCTGGTGCTGGAGAGAGGAGGTGCGGGCTGAAGGAAAGGGGAGACTCACAGGGCTTTACCCACCCTGAGCCACGTTCGTGTGTTCCCAAGTGTCCTTCTCGGCCTGGGTCCAAGATAGCAGTGGTCAGTGGTCTCTGGTGCCACCCCAGGCATGGAGCGGGTTCCTTCTGTTTGTCACGAGGTTGGTTCAGCCTTTTGGTGCTGCAGTTCTCTGGTGAAAGGGTTCTCTGGCGTTCCCTCTCAACTCCACTGACACCCGGCAGACCCAGAGGTCAAGCTTCTCTTGCTTCCACAGCTGGTGTTTGTGCAAACAAGGAACAGGAAACCCCAGAGGGAGGTTACGCTAACACAGTTGTGCTTCCAGCCCTGCCTTCCCTAGACCCCGGAGAGCCAGCTCCAAAGCTTCAGGGACATTTTGCAGATAGATCTGTGGGGAGGGTATTTCTTTGCAACCACTTTGAAGACTCTGAAAACTTAGTCTGTCTCTTGGCAAAATCTAACATAGGGTTTGTTGTTTCGGTGGGTGTTCCCCCCCCCCATAGTGAAATCTTCAGTTTGGGTATTTATTTTCTTAGCAAGCCTTGAATTAGGAATAGATTCATACTGAGAAATGCCACTGAGCATCTGGAGTGCATTTCATAGTACCAATTCTGCTCTGCTGAAACAAAGACTGTCAGCCTGAATTTTGCAATGTTGTTGAGATTTATATGTGAAACGACAGCCCAACAGACAGTGTTTTCTCTGTCCCTGCTTTGCATGCATGACTTCGGTAGCAATTGCCTTGAAACTGGGCGAGGTGGAGAGATGCCACAAGCCAGCGCTGAACAGCTATTGAATCTGGTGATACCACTTATTTACATGGAGGCTTGCTGCGATGAGGACTGGAGACGTTCTGCCCCAGAGAAGGGGAATAGCAAGAGAAGGGCAAAGGGGCTTTTCCTCTGGTTTTGCTTCCAAAAGTTTGCGTTTTCTCTGTTATCCCCTAAACCTTGCTGTCTTCCCAAGGGTAATCTTCTGTGTCTAAACTGATCATCTTTCCTGTCCTCCTTACCTTATATTATACCATAAATGAGTGTTAAATGAAAGCCTGTGTGTGTTTGTGGCAGATTTTAATCCGATTTAAAACTTGCAATGCTTTTTTGCATTGTGGTGTTTGAAGTTAACTGAGGCGTATTAGGTGAAAGCACAGTAGCTGGGCTTCTGCCTAAATACGTAAGTGAAATAGTCCTGATATCTTAGTCGTTGATCTCCAAAAATAATTTGCCTCGTTACAGTGAGCTAGTTTGTGTTTTCCATTTATTCTGCCAGCCTACATACTAGGGACTGGGGAGAGGAACACAGTCTTGGCTCTTGGGCCATAAGCTCTGCAGGAAACGCCATGAACCCCTAAGCTGACATGCTCTGGTTATTCCGTGTTTGAGAATGCGCCTGACTTCTAAGGGCACCATTGTTAGAGCTGTCCAGATGGTAAATATGTTTTATTCAGGAGTTTAATCCTGTCAAGTTGTGCCAGGACGGACAATGAACGTGATCCGTAGTTAATCCAGTTTGTCAGACTCTACCTCTGAGCTCTGTTCTGCAGCCTGCCACCGGCGTCCCTCTCTGCAACGTGGCCTTCCATCCTGCTCGGAGCTTCTTGACCACCTTCTACCTGGGAGGTGTTGATACCATACAGCATCAGTTAACTGAGGTGTTAAATGTCCCTCTGCAGCGTGTCTGTGTGCTTTCTATTGGGTGAGAACGAAGGGTTAGGACATTTATTTCTTTTTCACCAATACTTATTTTAGAGCTAGATGAATGTTACATGACCTCTGTCAATCAGGAGACAGAGCCAGTTTACTGTTTGCAGTGTAATGGTGACCATCAGTTGTTAGCTTGACTCCCAGCAATATAAAAAATTTCCAAGGGCTTTATAACTTTGAAAATACCCAGGCGTGATTTTTTTCCCCCCAAATGACACCAAGCAGATAATTAGCATTTTATACAGTTACAAGATTGTGCGTTCTCCTCCGTAGAGAATATTCCCACATAGGTATTAACTGAGAAAATGCCCAGGCCTTTAGCTTTGGAGTTGGTTTTGGTGGTAGATTCCTTAACTTCTTCAACAATATGTAGGAAATCCATGTGAGGAAGGAACTAGAGACACTTTTGTACTGTTGGCTTCTTATCAGCAGAACATCTGTGTTTTAAGATTTCTTGTAATCTATTGGAAACAAAAATGATTTAGCTAGAAGAAAACTCAGTGCAAGCATCCTTGACTAGCAGCTAGAGGAGGACTGGCATCAAAGCTAAAACAGAAAATAAAATACAAATTTAAAAAGACTTATTTCAAAAACATAATTATCCTTTAGCAGCTTTTAAATCAAAATTGACTATTTTCTCGGCCTTCTCATGGGTTACTTTGTTGGGGTGTTTTCTTGAGAAAATTGGGCTGAATTGCAATTGTTTCCCCTGGCCTTCATATATAGCAATCTGTAGCCTGGCAGAAGTTTCCTTTTACTGCCTACAATCCAAAGCCTCGCACTCTAGGACCGTGAGAGGCTAGCACAAAGCAGAGCGAGCTGACTTTCAAACTGCCTAAAGCGAAGACCAGTAAGACTGGCTGCCCTGTGCTCCTGGCGTCACCTGGGGAAGCGCTGTGTC